TTTTTACAAGTCAGACGCACTATGAGACCAAATTACCCCCAGGCAAATCACACCTATTTTCAAACCATATTTCTGGTTTGTAACATTCTCCTGTTCCTCATTGAAAAGCTCGTATCGAACAGTTCGTATAAGGATTCTTTGGCTTTCTCTCTCCCTCTAGTCTCTCTCCTATCCATTTTCCCCTCTTTCTCTTCCTTCTTCATCTCTTCGTCATCGTCTCTCTCTTCTTTGGCCTCGCTCTTACATTTCTTTCTTATTTCTATCACTCTTCCTTCACCCTCCCCCTCTCCTTTCCCTCTCTTGTTATCTCTTCTTCCCCCTTTCCTCCCCCTCACTCGTCCTCTTCCCCTCTCTCTTCTCCTCTCCTACTTTACCCCAGTATATCTTCTTCTCTCTCTCTTTCTCGTTTTCTTCCTCTCTTTTTCTTTTATTTATCTTGCCTTTTCTCTGCTTTTCATACACAACAATATTATTTAAATGTATTCTAGAATAGACAGGACTTTGAAATAAGTTCGAGCTTCAAAATACTCTCCATCGTATGGCCTTGTGCCAGATTGATCAGCGCAATAATTGCCTAATATTTTGAAGCTATATTTGTGGGGTTTATCATTTCTCATCTTGACCGTAGTCATTTTCCAATTTTTCATAGAAAATCGATGCATGAACCTTTCCATTCCTATACTGAGTTTACTGAATGGGCCTCTCTAAATAAACACAAGTTGTACTGTAGATCTTCATAGCATTGTAAGAAGCATTTTCATGGATGCGCTGTGTAACGCAATTGACATCGCCACGTAAAGTGGAATTTGACGAGCCGAGTTCAAATTCAGGCCTAATCTGCTACTAATGCCTTTGGGAAAGACATAACTCCGTTTCTTCTCTAAAAAGAGCTCTTCTCTAGACACTCTAAATTCAAAACCGTGGAGCGGACAATGAGAAAAAATTCTACTATATTTCTCAAGACGTCATGAAAAATCCAAGAGACAATAGCAATGTATGAACAAAAAATAATTTAAAGAGAAACATTTTACTAGGTTTAAATTGCTTGCGTCAAAATGTGCCTTAAAAGAAAGCCATGAATTTTAATTTCATATATAACATGATGAAACATTTGCATAAAAAAAAATAATTATTTTCAATATCTGTCGAGATGAGATATTGTAATTATTTACATTATTTACATTGTTCGGGCTGTTGTCCTCATAGTCACGACGTTTCGGCCGTCGTACGCTCCGGCCTTCTTCAGTTGACAGGAACTTTGAACTGAACCCCCTTTTTTTGTCCACCGGGACAGATTGTTCTAGTTCTACGTGCCATGCCTCTTCTGGGTGTTTTAGTTATCTCCCAAGTCCGAATGTCTCAGTTATCTACCAA